AAACTTGAGATCCCAAAAGCAAAAATCCAGGACAGGGAGGAAAATGCAAAACAAATCATAAACCAAAAATTTTCAACAAGAAAGTAGTGAGCAGATGGAAGGAGCTGCCATAATCAAGCGTCTACAAAACGAATTTCAATCAAGCAGCCGGCCAACTAACAAGGAAGACGCCCGAGTGACCCCTGCACTATGCCAGGTTTCAATACCATGTGTGGGTTCCTGGCCACCAGAAAGGACTGAAAAACAGCAGAAATTTCCCATCTGAACGGCTCACGGTGCACAGCTGGCAGAGGACACGGGTGATTTGAGTGGCATTGGGAACGCCCAGTGTTCAAAACCAAACCAGAAGCCAATTCCAGGTTTTGAAGGATGCCTCTATGGGCATCGTTCTCACACATCAGGCTTTAGCAATTTTGTGCCCTTTAACTTCACAATTGTGCTTTTTGGAATTTATAAGAAGGACAAACCAGAAGCCAATTCCAGGTTTTGAAGGATGCCTCTATGGGCATCGTTCTCACACATCAAGCTTTAGCAATTTTGTGCCCTTTAACTTCACAATTGTGCTTTTTGGAATTTATAAGAAGGTTATCATCGGGCATGCACAAAAATGTTCACTGCAACAGTATTTATAAAAGTAAAAACAGGAAACTAAACTGAAGGTCAAATATGAGAGGTTTGGTTGGTTTAATTATGGTCCATTCATGTTAATGAAATACTTTGAATCCATCCAAACGAATGTGGTTCAGAATAATAAAGGCTACAGGAAATGAAAAAGCCAAGGCACAAGTAGCACATACACTGCACTCCGAATTCATCCTTAAAGATGCGTACGTCTGCAGACAAAAGCATGAAAGAAATGCACCAGGTGGATGGCTTACAATTTTTATTTCTCTTCATATTTTTGTTTTATTTTCTAATTCTTCCATAATTGAAAAAAATTTCCAAAATTAGGAAATAATACACATATCATTTAATCCTCACATTCTGAGATAGATTCTATTAATAATGTTAACTAATGAGTAATAATAACTATACTAGTTATAACAATAATTATCATTATACTAATTAGTTAATAATTAATAGGTCCTATTAATAGGTTCTATGAACAATTTTTACATAATTTTATTGATGAAACAGCCAAGGCACAGAGATAATTAAATTTCTTGCCTAAAGTCACATAGCTAGTAGATAATCTAGCCAGAATTTGAACCTAGGAAATCTGACGTCAGTGTCCTGTCAGTGTCAGTACCCTATAATGCTACTAATAACATTGGTTGTGACTGCCTCCTTGGGGCAGATGTGCCTGTCACTCACAACCTAATACGAATTTTTGAACAAGTTTACCTTCCCAGCTTCAGCTGGCTGAATAAAGGTAACTGAGGAGATAGGGCAGAGTAAAGCAGGTCAATACAGAGAATTCAGGGACCTGGTAAAAGACTGCACAAGGCACAGGTGGGGTGGGCACTGACCACGATGAAGGGGAAAAAGCATAAGTTTCCCAATCTCGCCCAGGGGAGTGGGTGGAAAGCCATTTTCCAAGGATAGTTTTGGGGTGGCAGCCATGTGGATGGGAAAGAGGCCATCACACCTATCCAAAGTTGGCAGGGTCCCCCAACTTGGAAGAGAGATGGCGGGCTGGCTTCAGAACGTCTGTGAAATTCCTTTAAGTAATGAACCTTTCAAATGATAAGCACTCAAAATGGGGAAACCGCACCCCATACGTCATCTTGATGTCTAACCGTCTGCCCAGCACACCACCATCTTCCGCTGGTCTCTGGAGCAGGATCCCTAGTTCTGAAGGGAAAATGGTCCAGGACACAGCATTCTTGGCACGGAAATGTGTCTGGGCCACCATAACTGAGGGACTTTATAAGGAGGTGGTGAGGGAATTGCTGGATGAGGCATGTTACTTGCCTTCATTGGGTAATCTGAGAGGCAAATAGTGAGAGATCATGGAGGGGATAGTCTCGTACAGAGAGAGCTCCTTTATTCTCCCTGCCTGACCATGAAAAACTTGCCTTTCAGGAGAAACCAGAGGAGTTTAAGAAACTTGGCAATCTTTTGTGTCTCATTCATAGTTTGTAGAAAAGCACCATTTCAGAGAATATCATATTCTTGATTCCTTGTACCCATCTAGTTCAACTTCAGTCAACTCTTAGGCAAACAAGTGGTGGTAAAGGAGCAGAGAAAAGGCTCAAAACCTCAGAACCCTTTCCTTCTGTCTAAGTTGTCTCCCCCCAGCAGGTTTTCTAGGTGCTTCCTTTTTGTTTCCTTTGCCACCACCCTACTTTAGGCCTTCATTTTTATATACCTGCTTCGAGAGTCTCATCACTCATAGCCATCCTACAATGACACCACCAAATTAATCTTCATAAGAAAATCACCTTATAGTGTCCTGGTACTCCAGAAACAATCATAGAACTAGACAAGCATAGAAGGTAACTGTAGCTGTTTTCAGGCATTGGACAACAAGCAGCCTATGACTGCATCCTCAAGGGAAGGGAAATACATCATTCACCCCAGCTTTCTAAACAAAGGCACTTCTTAGACTGCAGGGAGGCAAGCAGAGAGGATGACTCTTTGAGGTGAGGAGGCAGGGTTTGGAATTTGACACTGATAAAGTATCTAGAATTTGTGGAACATGATCCCAAATGAGAGAGCTGCACAGAAGGTAGTCCCAGAAATCAGCATGAGGGTTACCCATGAGTCCTTGGCCAAGACTTGGCATGACCTAGGAGGAGAGAGGAGCTGTTGCAGGGCTAAGGGTTGAACAGAGCTCAGAGGTCTCACAGGGCTAGGAAATTTTGAAGTATTGACATAGCTGGGGTGAAAAAACCTCACTGAACACTTTGGGCATCTAGTTGACACCCCAGAAAGTCAATGCCTTAGG